GGTTGCCCGCGGGAGTGACGGCCACCGCGGCCAATCAGCGCGGCCCGAGGGGGCTGGGCTGCGAGGTGCGGGCCCGGGGCGCGGAACAGGGCAGTGGGGGTGGGGAGGGGTGCTGGAGCTGCACCCCCTGCTTGGCCTGTGAGATTAGGGCGCAGCCTACACTGCTGCCTCTGTCGCGGGAACACGTTTTCGTGCAGTGCCTTTCTTATCCTGCTCTGGGAAGCACACCCTTTCCTCAAGACCCTGTATATGGGAGTGTCCTTTCTCTATAGTTTTGAAAATCTGGGCGTCGCTCCCCTTCCTTAAACTCTAGTCCTGGGATTTTCTCAGTTTCTAGCCATCCCTAAGAACGGACTGAAGGCATTCTCGCTTCTCTTTGCTCCTCAATACTGAGGGAACACTCCCATATTCAAACGTAATTAACAGTTCTCCTTTTTCAGTTTGGGGTTCAGTCTGCTGATAGGTCCTTGAGAAGTCAGGTCTGTAACCAAAGTTTTGCAGTACTTTATTATATCCCACAACTCTGAGGAAAGGAATCCTTCTTTTCAGGCCCCAAATCTGGCATGCTTCAGTAGTGAATTTGAGGGCCAGTTTTTGTTTTTGTTTTGTTTTGTTGTTTTGTTTTGTACTTTGGTCTACGGTGAGCATCTCTTTTCGGGTTCTAGTCCAATCCTGATGCTTATGGCTCATAGTTTCCAGTTTCATCTATAAGAGGATTCGCTGACTTGTCCTTAAGTCTGTCCTTGGGGTTGTATTTTTTTCTTGTGTTCGCCAAGCTTACTTGTTTCTGGGGGAGACTGGTTTTCCTATCTGAGAGTGTGTTTGCTTTCTGGGTCTCTTTAGGGTTTGAGATGCACCTCTTTTAGGAGGACACATACCACCGTGGGGGGTGCAGCAGGGCTGGGCACACCTTTCTCTTGAATCCTCCCATTCCTAGATGGGGTAGTTCTTGAGCACCCCTCACCCACCGGTTTTCCACCTTGTCCTGTTTTCTAATTGAAAAAATTATTTATTTATTTGGTGTGTGCCATAACATGTATGTGGCAATAACAGGACAACTTGAAGGATGTTATCTCTCTGCTTCCACTTCGTGGGTTCTAGGAATGAAACTCAGGTGGTCACTTGTGGCTGCAAGTGTTGAGCCATCCAGCTAGCCAGTCCTCCTGTTTTGAGACCAGGTCTTGCTGTGTAGCTCTCCAGGAAATAGTGTGAAGTCCCAGCTGGCTTTAAATTCATGATCCTCCTGCCTTGGCACCGGAGCTGAGATTACAGGTGCTCTTTCCTATCCCCTTTCTTCTTAAGCTTTTCTGCCATGCAAGATAGTTTCACTCTTGGGTTTCCTTCCCCCTTTAGAACCACATTCCCCTTCATGTGCTCTCCCAGGCTCTGTAGTGTGTCTCTTTGGTCTTCCTTCCTCTGTTGAATGTGTATCTGCAGAACACTTTCTGTATTGATGCCCTCCTCCCACAGGGCAGTTCTTTTAGTCACCCTGCCCGAGCCTTTCTTTCTTGACAGAATCCCCTTCCACACCCATGAGACTTTCATTGTTCATTGTGAGGCCCTGTCTCACGAAGTAGTTCAGGTTATCCTGGAACTTACTGGGTTGTCTAAGTTGGCTTTGAACCCATGATCCCCCTGCCTCAGCCTCACAAGTGCTGGGGATTACCGGCCAGAACTCCGGTGGCGTCTGAGTTGTGTGGTGCACTCCTTTAGTCCCAATGCAAGCAGGAGATCTCTGAGTTGGAGGCCAGCCTGATCTGCAGAGCTAGTTCCAGGACATTCAGGGCTACACGAAACCCTGTCTTGAAAAGCCCCCCAAAAGAACTACCATGCTTGGCTCACATTTATATATATGTAGTTTATCTTTCTGCAAATAGGAATTCTCTTTTGGTTCACTGTTTGTCCAGGCATTTTTCTGGTTTCTGGTTCCTGTTGGACACTGTTCTGCTTATCTGGTGATGATAATGTTTCTCCTTTCTCTTCCTCTGTGTTGGAGATGGCCGTAAGACCAGGGCTGCTTGACCTGTTGCTACAGTCAAAATATAAAGAAATCCCCTTGTAATTTTTGATTATTCTTAGAACTCTTAGTCCTCCGATGCTTTACTTCCTGTAAGTTTCTGGTGAAGCTCTTAATAGTTTTTGTGGATTTGATCCCAGCAATCATGGCTGGAGGATTGTTGCAAATTTGAGGGCTGCCTGGTCCATATGATGAGCTCCAGGCTAGCTAGGGACTTATAGCAAGAGCCTATCTGAAACCAACAGATCTGATTAGGTAGGCTCTATTCCTTTACTTCCCTTTCCCTCAAGCCGTGCACACACACACGCACGCACGCACGCACGCACGCACGCACGCACGCACACACACACTGTCTTCTTTTTCCCTCAAGACAGGGTTTCTCTGTGTAGGCTTGTCTATCTTGGAGCTCACTCTGTAGGCTAGTCTGACCTCAAACTCATAGAGATTGCCTGAGGCCTGGGATCAAAGGTGTGCACCACCACTGCCCAGCCTCTTTTTTAAACTTCCCTGTTCTGGGTTGGGGCTTCAAGAGATTTTTCTACTAATGTATGCCTTCTAGCCCATAAACTACCTTCCATTAGTTCTCTGTATCAAGCAAAAAAGTCATATGGGCTCAGTGTGGATTATTTGCCTGCCATGTGTGGAGGGTCTTGATTTGATTCTTAGCATGAAAAACTGTGGCAGCTTGATTTGGTGGCAGACACCTTTAATCTCAGTACTTAGGGGGCAGAGGCAGGCAGATCTCTGTGAGTTTGAAGCCAGCCTGCTCTACGTAGTGAGTTCTAGAACAGCCAGGGCTATTTAGAGACTGCCTTAAAAATAAATGAATGAAAAGAAAGAAAGAAAAAAAAACTGTATGTCTTTCTCTCCTTCATCTTGAATATCTGAATATCTGTCTGTCTTTTCTCCCAACCCCCATTTTTAAAAAAATCTTCAAACACCTGGGACATCTTGTCTTAATAGATCCTCACTGCTAATATTTCTCTTTCCCTCTCCAGAGTTTTGCATAGGGCTTTTCAGTCTTGAACCCCTGATTCATTTCTCCACAGCTGGAGTTTCAAATGCTGAGGGGATAAT